TCTGCTCTGGAATTGGCTCTTTTAAGGCAAAACTGAACAATCCCCTCGGTAGGCCACAGTTACCCTATCACACAGTCATCTGGGTGGGAGTTAAAAGACCATGACTAGAAAGGCCACACACAAAAGAAAGTACTCGCACCACAATGTACCTAAGGTGTCTTTTTTTTAAAGTAAGTTATTTTATGTTGTTGTTGTTGTTGTTGAAAATGTACACAGCAAAACATATACCATTTCAACAATTTCTACATGTACAGTTCAGAGACACTGATTACACTCTTCAAGCTGTGCAGCCATTCTCACCTGCCTTTTTCAAATCGTTCCTCCATTAATGTAAACTCGCTGCCCCCTAAGCTTCCTAGCTAACCTTTCAAGGTGCTGTTTTCAATTTGTACATAAGGTATCTTAAAGGCCACCTAGTTCAACATCTCATCCTACAAAAAAGGAGCCTGAGACCTGGAGAGAGTAAATGTCCAGTCCAAGGTCTCCCAGTTCCAAGTGTCCTGACTTTAATCCAGGACGCTTTAAAGGACCCCCTGAAGGCTCTTCCTCTACCGTTGGGCCATCTTCTAAAACAGACTGAATTTGTGATATGTTTGACTCACTCAAGTAGAAAAAAATGTGAAACACCAGGAAGCATGACAAAGCCTGGTATTTAAATGCCCTTACATACCTGGTGAAGGATTCCTGAGACCAGCGTGCTGACCAGTGGGGAGGGAGGACCGACCAGGTCAAGAGGTGGCACCGCCTTTCTTTCCAGAGAGGCTACTTTGGCCAGGCGTCTGGGCTTTCACATCTGTCATCAGAGGGTCTGGCTGGCTTTGACGGAGTTCAGTAGACGTCACTAAAGAGTATCTGACCACCTTGACCTCAGAGCTCAGAGCAGTCTACTGCCCTGAAGCAAATGCCAGCTGTGCAAGAGCCATCAGCCGGGGTTGCACAGTCCAGCATTTTGAAAGATACAGAGCTATGTGGCTGCACAAAATGGAACCCAGACTTCACAAAATCTCCAGGCAAAGTATGTGGCTTAGGACATCATCTGGGTCCTGGTATCCAGTCCAGGACAGTGTCCTGTCCCCTCTGACAGATCTTCACTGTCACCTGACTGGGGCTGGTTAGCAGTGATGGAGGCATAGTTGGCAGGGTGCCCACCTTCACAGCACTCCCTGCAGATCCTGGCTCCGGCCCTGAACCTGCCCTTCCAGAGGAATACAGAGGACTCGGGGCAGGGCAAGTACCCATCCAATGTGTGGAGGTCTGGAATGTGAATCCGTGTATCTGTCTCTTTGCAGGACACAGAAATGCACTAGTATCCAAAGCCCAAACCTTTCTTTAAATGTGCTCTGATTTGGGGCTTTGCCAAGGCTACCAAACCAAAACCCGTTGCCATTGAGTGGCTTCTGACTCATAGTGACCCTATAGGATAGCGTAGAAATGTCCCCATAGGATTTCCAAGGCTGTATAATTTTTAACAGAAGCAGACTGGCATGTCTTTCTCCCGCAGAGCGGCTGGTGGGTTCATAACACCAGCCTTTCGGTTAGCAGCTGAGCGCTTTAACCACTGCGTCGCCAGGGCTCCTTTGCCAAGGCTGAGCGGTCCTGAATTCTTTCAGACATCTCCCCTTCCCCTTAGAATTTGCTTTTCCCTCTGATGTTTCTTCCTACTGACAATTAGAACTGAGACTCAGTGATTGCTAGAAGCACTCCACCCCACTATTCCCAAACTGTAGACTCTGCTTCCTAAATTCCAGGCTGGAAGGTGGAGTTGTTTATGAAAGGGGGTGAAGTCCAGCCACAATGGGATGGGAAATCAGACAAGGATGTTTTTAAAAGCAAGCTGTGTTTTTCTGACTGTTCCCGTTTTGGTTCCCACCCTAAAGGCTCCACTAACCCCGGGGAAGAAAAAATATTTTTAGTCTGATAGTGTACTGTAGGCAGCCCAGAGCTGAGCCATCTGTACAACAGCCCTGATAACTCAGAGGAATGGTTGTATTAGTAAGAGCTTGTAATAGAGCCCCCAAGACACCACAGCCGAGGCACCCACTATGTACAACACGCCATGGCTTACCCAACTCCCGTGAAGCCCTTTAAGATTTTAGAATAGAAATATTTAGGAAGGAAAAAGAGCGGGGTATGATGGGGAAATGTTTGTAATTCCTGGGGAAGGACAGAAATCACAGCACTGGAATGTACTTTAGAGATAACAACTTGGTGAAGAAAAGCAGATGACAAACTGGAATGTCACCAAATTGGGATAACCCATTTGCCGCATAGTTATAACAAGCTGAGGTGTTTTTAATTTTTAAAAACATACTGATTCTCCATGTTTCTGACAAACAATTTATAAATTTATTACTAAGATATTAAATAAAGTGGTGAAAGATGTGGCAGTCTGCTTCTGTAGAGATTACAGCCTTGGAAACCCTAGGGGGCTGTTCTACACTGTCCTTTAGGGTTGCTATGAGTCAGAATCGACTCTACAGCAACGGGTTAAGGGCTTGTCCCATTATCTGTTACCACTGGGTTCCTTCCCACTCCCTTTCCCCACCAAACGAATTTAGTTGTGCTGTTTGGCCACCGGGAGGTGTTTCTTGATAACTGACTTGTCTTCCCTTAGAGTAGTCAGCACGGACAAGACCCTTTAGATTGCTGTAATTGTACGTTCCTAACTCCAGCATGCTATTGTGTTGGCGAGGAGACCAGGAATGAGATCATGAGTAATAAGAAACCTTAAGTTTTTACTCTTGCACAAGAGACAGAAATTATCCAATTGGAGTTAGGTTTCAAGAGTGTTGAACTTGAAGGCAAATATTTATCTTCTGGTGTTAAGAAAGGGAAGAATGTAAAACCTTTGCCCTTGAATGTAAGAGTAGTGTCTGCATTTGGAAAGCGGGTTATATTAAGGCAGAAGCCAGGGGCGGATTACCCAATAAGCAAGGGAAGCATAGGCTTGCGTGTGCTTACTTACTAATCTGTAGTGAACAATTTCACCAAAGATGTCGTGAAAAACGTGAAATTGTTCACTACATATTAATCAGTAAGCACAAGTAAACCTATGCTTACCTTGCTTACTGGGTCATCTGTCCCTGTCAGGGATTGTAAATTTCAAAAGAGGCTTTGATTCTGTAGCAAGGTGCTGTGGGGTTGGGGGAGAGACAGATGCCAGCCATACCTAGAAGTAGGATCTTTGATATGATGAAAAAAAGTGAAATTGTTCACTACAGATGATCTGGTAAGCAGGGTAAGCACCGTGCTTACCTTGCCTATTGGATAATTTGCCCCTTGCAGAAGCATAGTAAATTTCTCATTGTCAGCCTTCCCTGGAAGTATGCTAATTTTTTTTAACCACACACAGAGCAGATTTGATATCTTAATGTTCACAGTAACATTCCACTGGCTTCCAGAGAGTCGATCTCTCTCCAACTTCCTGAAAAGTCTCCTTCAAACTTGCTTTCAGGGTATAAGTTTTTGGAAAGAAAATGGCCCAGAGTCCTGTCATCTGGTGCTTTGCAACCCAGTCTATCCTTTCCCTGTGCTATATTACTGAAAGTGAATTTATAATTACTAGTTTTCTTTTATCTACACAGCAACCTTGCAAGCTAGGCAAAACCAATACTCTTATAACCTCTTAATACTATGGAACATACATCTTTTAGTAACTGATCTTTTCTGAGTCTCAGCATATTCAACCATTCTGAACATTCATTGCAGGCTGCAACCTCACAGCTTTCTCAAACTTCTGCCTTCTTACCATTCCTGACACTGTGCATATAGAAGCTGGGACTAGCCTTGTACCATGTCTAAAATAGACCGACCGACCCCTCCTCCGGGGATCCTAGGCACTGGGATCCTTTTCTAGTGAATGGTTTCAACTTATCATCACCTTAAAGGAGTTTCTAAGGAGACTTGGTGGCACAGTGGTTAAGCACTTGGCTCTAACCAAAAAGTCGGTGGTTCGAACCCATCAGCCACTCCACTGGAGGAAGATATGACAGTCTGCTTCCAGAAAGATTATAGCCTTGGAAACCCTGTGGTGGGACAGTTCTACTCTGTCCTGTAGGGTCGCTATGAGTCAGAAGCCACTGGAAGACAATGGGTAAATGAGTTTCTATTTTGCAAGGGATAGCCTTAAAAAGATCTAGATAGTTAGCTTCTGCACTTCCTCACAATAATTTATGGAAAAAGAGAAAAAAACTCACATTATTTTTAACTGTCCAAGCTACCAAAGTAATTTCTAATCCTTCTAGTGCCTTGACGTAGCAGGATGTGGGGAGGGGGAGAATGGACGGAATCTAAAGCCCTAGATTTGAACACTGGCTCTGAACTTTGGTACTCTCTCTTAGCCCTTAAATGCCATGAGAATACTAGGATACGCTATGAAAGTTGGGTGGATTAACTGTGAAAGTACTTTCTAAACATTCAACCACAAAACAAATGCAGAGTATTATTAACAATAAAAATCACTGATAAGGGAAGAAATGTTTAAGCTCAATCATGAGAGGAAAAACTAGATTTTTAGTAGCTACTGAAGTCCTCAAACCACCAAACAATCCTTTGTACTGAGCCTTTGTCCTGACTATAGGAAGCCATTCTGGGGGCGAAGAAATTAGTTAATTATCACTTCTTAGTCCACCCAGCCCTTGGCTTCGTGGCAGAGACCCAAAGTGATCCAGGCCATGTCAGCCTTTGTCTGCTGATATCAGGTCAATTTTAGGAATTAAATATGGGGTTATTTGCATTCCGTCAACGACTCTTCATCAGTTCAAAGAGTACTGTCAACAGGATAAGGATGAAAGGAGGATTGAAAATCGCTCAGCAGTACTCTGGAGGTCCTGGAGTAATGAATACCTGATGGGATTAAACTCGCTCAGCAGTACTCTGGAGGTCCTGGAGTAATGAATAC